GTCGGACGAGCGCCGAATTACGGCCAGACGGCATACACAGTTCGGATGCTGATTCCGAGAGGTCGCAGCAGCCGAGCAATGTTCTTGACAATGGGGCCATCTCCTCCACGGTAACGTTTGAAAGTGATCGATCTGGACTCAGCACAGTCGTTCGCAGTGGGACGGTTCTCACGACGGCTGCAGCGCTCAGATTGGAACAGGAGCTGGACAAGTTGACAACTGAGCTCGGGAAAATGTTCGCTTGTGTCACCAAAATAGTCAAACGCAAGGATCCAGAGTGGGACACAAACGCCGCGCGTGCAGCCATCCGCAAGGAGGCGGCAAACCATGCATCGAAGCGGACTTGGGATTCCGAAGCATGTGAATGGGAAAGTGCTGTGGCCAAGTACGGGCCTGACGTGGAGTACGTGCAGGCAATTCTTATCTTGGGGATCAAGCACTACGAACTCGATCAGTCCCAGCACCGGTTCAAAGCTTCTACGGCCGCCTTGTGGAGGAAGACCAATTGCACGGTCGACCCATTACACTTGAGGGATCGCGGGCGCTGGATTGCTACGCTGGTTTGCAACCCGACGGCGATTGTCAGACTGCTGACGCTGATGGTGCGTACTTGCAAGCTCGACTCAAAGGTCGTCCGAAGGTTTTTTGTTTGCCGAGAGAATTTCGCACACAAACAGAGCTGGAGATGCGATGTCCACTTCACCTTTTGTACATGGCCATCTACGGGCTCACACGTTCAAACAGCGACTGGGAAGACCATGCTGACGAGCGGTTGTTGCTTAAGCATTGGCTGCAAGCTCGTGACATTGAGCGTCCGATCTTCAAAAAGGAATACAACGGACACATTGTGGGCATGAGCCGTTTTGTGGATGATTTCAAGTTGGCGGGGCACAAACCAGTGCTACCACACGCATGGGCTGAGATTTTCGAGTGCTTCGATTTCGCAGACCCATCTCAACCCGTCAGCCGATTTGTAGGTTCCGAAGAAATACTGTCACGCGACCATGCTGATGTTGCCACGTTTCTTGTCAAGCAGGATGCTTACATCGATACCTTCACGCGGAAGTATTTGGATGAGATTGGGGCCTATAGACTTCCACGATACGACACACCAGCTGTGAAGCTCGCGGCCAGTGATGTGTCCAGCATGAATGAACCAGGTCAGTTTGCCTCAAATTGTGGGACGTACGTGGGGGCCGGATTGTGGATAGCTCGGAATAGTCGTCCTGAGATATCTTTTGCTGTCGGATGGTTAGGCCGGTACACTACAAAATGGACCAAAAGACAGGATGCGGCCTTGCATCGTCTCATGGGATATCTAGCAGCTACTCAGTCCTCCGCACTTCGTCTGGTTCTCAATCCTGCTGATGTTCAGCAACGCACTCTGAGACTAGTACTGTGGGTCGACTGTGACTGGGCGACAGATCCTGAAAACCAGGCGATCGACGTCAGGAGCTGTTTTGCAACTCGTTGGGTCGCATGGCACTCGCGCGACATTTGCTTGGAGATCGCATCGACAAGGTGCAACTGCATTGTCGGCGCCAGATGCCGAGGTGACTGCTATGGCTGAAGGTCTCAAGCGCCACGGGATCTATGCACAAGATATTTTCGAGTTTTTGTTGGGATATCGAATTCCATTAGCCATCATGACCGATTCAGCAACAGGCATCGCAGCAATCGATGACGCATATGGTGTGCTCAAGTACATGAAGCGAACACAAGGCGTGCCTTTGTCATGGTTGCATGATGTCAGCATTGATCCCGACAACAACATCAAGAAAACCAGCACTGACGATAACCTCGCAGATATCATGACGAAAGCATTGGAGAAGAACAAGTTCCAGCATTTTTCACGGCTTTTGGGAGTTCACCCGCATGGTTGAGATTTGCATGGGCTTTTACAGCATGGTTGAGCATGACCTTGAGCAAGTGAATTGCCGATGATTTCGTTGTCATGATTATGCGCATGTGTTGCTTGATTTTCCGCATGATCTCATGATTGATTTCTTGATTTTCGTTGGATGCATGAACAGTGCAGATTTTCTAGGCTGTTGATTGATTTGCTTTGCACAGCCAGCTTGCGAGCGGTAGCGGCCGCACAGGTCGTACCCATCATCATTTTGCAGAAGCACTCTTTTGTACAGATTTTCTTCGGTGCTGGCGTATTCTTTTCGCAAGATTCAGCAGACGGGACAGAAGTCTGCACACTTTGATTCCATTTTCCTTTGACTGTGATGCCATGCTCGGCATGGGGGCGTTGTGTGAGCAGTTTAAGTACTTGGCTCACGTTTGATGCCTTACATGTCATGACATCCGTGAATCAAGAGTGATTGCATATGATTGCATCAGACTTGCCTTGGCAATGCCTTGGCTCAAGTGACCGGGTGAAAAAATGCTTGCTACGTCAAAGCTGTGCTTGATTGAGCTGTGACCAACAGGGCCCCCAGTTGCCCTCTCAAACTGACAAATCGGATTGAGGGGGTTGTGATGGCGGAATCTTCATGCCTTATGAGAGCGACATGACCGGGGGGGGGATGGGCGCAGGTATGCGCAGAGGCGGCGCACCGTAAGGGCAGCCGAAGGCCTCCACGCCAGTGACCCGGTCATACTCCCACTGGAGGATGCTGCCGCAACGGTCACACGGATTGCCTGCATTGTGCGATCAGGCAGCCGCATGAAATCTGGCGTTCCGCGGCGTTCCGAATCCGTCAAGCTAAGGGGGAACTCCACAGGGCACGCGTCCCGGGAGCGTTCCGCGTGGCGTTGTGCGGCCGTCAAGCTAAGGAGGAACTCCACAGGACGCGCGCCGCTGTGGCGTTCCGCGGCGTGCCGGAGGTACTCCACAGGACGCGCGCCGCTGTAGCGTTCCGCGGCGTTCCGAATCCTCAAGCTAAGGGGGAACTCCACAGGACGCGTGCCGCCGTGGCGTTCCACGCAAGCGTCCGCAAACGTTCCAAGCGTTCGCGAGTGGCGTAATGCAGGGAACTGCACAGGAAGCGCGCCGCCGTGACGTTCCGCAGCGTTCCGAATCCGTCAAGCTAATCCGAGCTTCTGATTAATTGGTGGCCCCCCCCCCCCCCCACAATAAGGAATGCAGGGTTCCGCAATAGTTGGACCGTGGCCCTGTATTGATTCTCTACTAAAAACAATAGGCTGCAGATCCCTGAGGTGCTGTAGCTTTGCGTCTCCGCAAGTTGAACCCCCCCAAAAAAAATTCCTTTAAATGTGGGGGTTTGTCCCATACGAAATCCACCCTAATGGAAAGTAGTCTTCCGGCGGGCTTCCGGCCAAAAAAAATTTCTTTAAATGTGGGTGTATTAATTAAACTGATGCTCGGATTAAGGAGGAACTCCACAGGACGCGCACCACTGTGGTGTTCTGCAGCGTTCCGAATCCGTCAAGCTAAGGACCCCACCCATGCGCCCGATCGCCGCGACATGGTGGCAGCACAGGATCCGAACGCCTGGCGGCGGTCGCGGTTCGGGCGCGTCCTGCGATGTGAAAGTCAAGCAAGACCCCGAGGAACTAAACCCCCAAACGTCTTAGGGCCAGCCAGAGGGTCGCGCGCAGAGCTTGCTGGAGTTGCCGGTGCGCCCGTGCGATGCCGGTGGCGGCGGCGAGCCGCCACTGGGAGAGCTCCTCGCGGCGCCGCCTATAGTGGCCAAACGGCGGCCTGGAGTCATGACTGTGCGGCGGACAGAAAAAAGGCGTGTGGAAAAAAAAAACTCGAAAAAAAAAGCTCGAAACTGAACGGCGTGAACAAAAAACATTTATAGTGGATTTGTATGTTAACCGCACGAATTCTATTAGAGTTTTTGTTTCGCTCCTTTTCCTGCCAGAGACAAATGAGACAAACAGATGTATGTTTTGGAGAAGCAAGTGCTTGCGTGTGAGAGAGAGACAGAGTGTTCGTGAGTGTGTGAGAGTGTGAGAGCGAGAGTGAGAGTGAGAGTGAGTGAGAGGCGGCACATCTGTAGGGACATGCCTGCCGAATGGCCGGTGCTTTCCGAAGAAGGAGGGCACTTCACGGCCACAGCCCAAGGCACTTGAGAGAACTCGGAAAACTCACGAATCTCGGGAATGTTGAAAATTTTGGGCTTAAAGAAATTCTTTGGGCTCCTCGGTGACCCAAAGGGCACATGGCCTGACCCAAAGGGCATATGACACAAGACCCCGAGGCTCCTCGAAGGACCCCCAAAAGTTCAAAGGGGGCGTATTCTAGATTTATGGGGCCCGGCGGTTTCCGGCGGTCGACTCACAGCGTTCATTGCCGGGCGCATAGTAACACAGCACGCCAATCATCGCAAGTCAGGAGACGCTGGGCATCACGGCATCCTTAAACAGGGGGGACCCCTTAGCCCCGGCCATGTTCTCGCGGGCCTTCCTCGACGGGCTATATATGTCCTCACCCTGTACCCGGAGCGTGCCCGCCCCGCGCGCGGCGCGGTCGTCGAGACAGCATCCAACAAAGGCAGAACGCGGGCGTTTCGCCAGGAGGCGCGATGCCCTGCCCGTCATCCAGACCCGCTGCCCTGAGGCCGCGCAGGTGTTGATCCTGTGTTGCAGCCCTGGAGCAACCCCACCGGCTCCCTGCTTGGGCATTCCCGCGGACGCCAGAGCCACTCTCCAAGCGGAGGGCGCCCGCCCGGCTGCCCCGGACGAGATCGAAGCCGGGCTTGGCGACTGGCTCATGGCTGGTAGCGGCTCGCGTCGCAGACTCGCAGTCTTTACTACCGCGACTGCGTGCTGTGCCCTCGTTTCCGAGCCCCTCGCGAGGCACCTGAGACACATGCCTACAAGCATGCTCAATTCGAAGGAGGAGCAGTGCCAACATTCCATGAAGAAAAACTATGCAACACACGCACGGTCGTAGGAAAAATGGACTCGCTGAGGTGGCGGGTAGGGGTACCGCCAAGGCCTAATAGTTACGGCAGTTTCCTGTTGCATAGAATGGGTTCATTGGGTGTGCTTCAGTGTTGTGTGCTGGCCACGTGCCCAAGGCAAGGAGCAAGATCCATTCTTTCGGCGGCAGAGGCGGCCCCGGAACGAAAACAAAGGTAGATCACCGGAAAGACATGGAAAGGCTTTTCGGGAGACGGTCGCATGTAATTACTGAGATGTAAAAATCAACAAGAATTGTCCATGCCAGGTCTGTATCCCTGTGCCTCCGGAAGCACGCAGCTTGGGACATCGAACATCATGTTGCTGGGTTGCACAAGTTGCGCAAGAGTTGCTTGGCCATAGGACCGCATGGAGCCGACAACGGCCTGAGGATGGCTATAGCCATGGCATCTCCAGGGGGGATCTGGACGATGGCAAGGTTGACAACAATGCGACATCTTATTCGGACCCTCCAAAGCAGATGGGCAGTCATGTACAAACATAATCAGAAAAAAAACACATGCGGTCGCTTTCTCCGATTGATTCTCATTATGTGTGTGGCACGTCAGGACAACACCACGCTCACCCCACAGTCGGCCTGTTTGGACGTAGGCTTGCGATCGGAAAGCCCGCGACATGAACGGAGCATAACGGAGCCATCCATGCTTTGGCCCGAAGTGCATCCTTGGAGGTGATATGTGCCCATTGCCAATGTCCCGATGTTCATCCATGCGAAGTGCAGCGACGTCATCCGGAAACTGGCAACAACCAGAGTCCACGCTGATTTTTTTAGCCGCTTGTTGGCAAACTCATGGCACATTCACGAGGGGCGTTTTCGCATGCAGCTAGTGTGGAGTGATCGTTTTGTGGTTACAACAGAGAGGATATACCCTTTCAACCCCCGAAACATTCCCACTTTGAGTGGCTTCCCGCCAGGATTGGGACGACACGGTGTTTCCCACAACTTGGCTGGAATCTAAGAAGGCACGGCGTTTGCAGAGTGCTTTTTGTTGTCACCAGAGGCCTGTGTCTAGAAAAAGCACGTCAAGTGCCCGTGAGGCTTTCCAAGCCTGGTGTCGTAGTGGAGCCTGGCGCAGTGAGGTGGACATGACATAATTTTGCGACATAGTTCTTGCAAGAAAGTGCGCGCAGGAGGACTTAGGCAACCGAAATGTTTGTGTTCCGACAACATGTTGGTGTCGCCAGGGAACCGGAGCTACTGTACCATACTGTGCCCAACTGACATGTTGCCAGGCTGCGCCGGTTTTGGATGCTGCAGATGTGGGTATGTTGAAGGCGCGTTTGAATTCATTCTGCTCAGAACAGAAGCTGGATGAAGCTGGCCTTACAACCCACCACACAAGAAGGGGCAAGTGTCCACGATTTCGTTGTGAACTCAGCAAATTCCATTCTGTATGATGAGCATGATGAGCGCCATGTTAAACCTGAGATGTCCATCAATGTGTCAATGATCCTGTAAACAGTCATCGCGGTCTGAAGTATGTAAGGCCGCATTGCGGCAGTGCTTGCAACCCCAGTCCTAGTCCTGCGATAACCTGTCGCTTGCATGGCAGGAAATGGAACAGGCGGCGCGATCAATCGTTTCTACCGCTTTTGCAGCTTGGTGAAGTTGCGCTTGGCGTGCTGAATGAGAGGTCAACACTTGCGGTCTGGCCTGCTGAATGAGAGCTCAACAGTTCCGCAGGTGGTGAAACTTTGGCCAGGTAACACTTCAATGTTGCGATGGGGTCTTGAGAACCTGTCTAGCCAAGGACTTGGGCCATGTTTGTTGTGTAACGTTGGCGCAACCTCCATGGCAAGAAGTGTCCATGAAGGCACTTGGATTGGAAAACTGAATGAAGATCAGTGCCCACATGTACTCATCCGGCCCAATGTCAGTCAGGCGTCAGGCAACCAGACAGTCAATGCAAGTGCAAAATGGTAGGTCTTCATGCCCAATTTGTACGAGCTTTGGCAGGACAGTGCCGAACCAGGGCAGCATGTTTCTGGCGTGCTCACGTCAACAGAAGCAGCACGGATCCAGTCTGTCTTTTCCTCGATTTGCAGTTTGCGCCACAGGACCTTGGCATTGAGGTCGTTTATGCCAGCCAGGCGCCGATTGTGGGCACATCGATCGCATCACACCTCTGCATGCTTGTGACATAGTGGGTTGCTATAAGCTATAAGTCTATAAGTTATAGGTGTGCGGGAACAGGATGATGACCTTTGATGATGTTCAGTGTGGAGCCGCGTGTAGTGCCCTCAAGGCTCTGGTGGCCACTTCCCTCGTTTAGGGTTTAGGGTTTATTTAGGGTTTAGGATTTAGGGAGAAGTCCAGTTGCAAAAAGGTTAGGCTTAGGATTGAGGGTTTAGGGTTTAGGGTTTAGGGTTTCGCAACACTGCGAGGAGACAGACAGCAGACGCTATGGTAGCTCTGCCCCAGCTGCGAGGGCCATCGTCAAGGCGAGATCGGTGGATCTGAGAACTCACGGGGGGTCTTCTCTTGGTATCATGTACTTGGAGGTTCAAGGTACTTGTACCTAATAATGAAGAAGAATAATAATAGTAATAATAATAAAAAATTGTAAAACAATAAAACCATAAAATAACGAAAACATAGAATAATAAAAAATAAGGTTAATACGGTTAAAAGTACAGGTATAAGTTCCTTATGATTGGTTAATAAGTACCATGAACCTCCAAGTACAAGTAGTTCTTGACACGTCGCAGGAAGGATGGGAACCGATCGGTTGACTTTCCCCGGACAGTGACTGCCTGACTTGGAAGTGAGCCAGGACGCCAACGAGCAAGATGACCTCTTCAAACAGCAGTGCGCCCCCCAGAAGCAGAATTCCTGCAGGGCGATCTCGCACTGTGCCCAGCTGGGGCACCTCGTGGAATGGTTCATAGAAACCTTCAGTCAGAGGAATGGACTCTGGCTGAATGCGCGTAAGAAAAATGCAGGGGACTAATCTTACTCAACCTTAACTATCACTTTTTTAAGCATTCTTGAAACTGTATGAATTCGGTTCATGCTGTTATCCCTGCCTCGTGTCAGGCAAATGCAAAAGAAAATGAAAGCCATGGCCGCCTGGCAGAATGCTGGGGTGAGCGAACTTCAAGCTGCGAATGTCACCAACATGAGGTGTTTACTCAAAGGCAGATTCTGAGTGCTCAGAAAAATCAGACCCGCAACAAGAGTGCCAAGAGTATAAGAGCAGTAAGGGCAACAGGAGTACGGAGCACGCCGTGCCCTATGAATGGGGTACGCAAAGAGCCCAATACCCCTTAATTAAGGAATATACTATCAATCTTATCATATAGCAGTATAACCCTTTGTTTATAACTCCATGCTACTTAGGAGAAGACAGTGAAGCGGGTTTTCGGCCAGTCGTGGAAGAATCTCATTAGCATCGGCCGCTCGGCTTGCAGCTCAGGAGTGCCAGCTCAGGGTTAAGGGCTCGGGCGGTTTAGGGTTTGGGTTTTATGTAGGGTTCAGGGTTTAGGTTTAGGGTTTAGGGTTTGGGGTGTAGGGTTTAGGGGCTTGGGGGGACTGGGGTTTCTCCAGCTGCTTCGGTGCCATGTTCTCACGAAGCCTGGGGATGTTTTTCAATGTTTGTTGCGACTCAGCATGCTAATACGAGAACACCATAATGCTATAATACAAGAATACTAGAATGCTGTAATACAATAATACTATACTACTATAATACTAGAATATCTTAATACATTAATACTTTAATACTATAATACTATAATGCTACTAATACTTTAATACTATAATACTACAATACTATAATGCTATAGTACTATAATACTATAATACTATAATTCTAGAATACTACAATACTATAATACTATAATACTATAATACTATAATACTATAATACTATAATACTATAATACTATAATACTATAATACTATAATACTATAATACTATAATACTAGAATACTACAATACTACAATACTAGAATACTATAATGCAAAAATACTATAATACTATAATACTATAAATACTATAATACTATAATACTACAATACTATCATACTACTATAATACTATATACTATACTATAATAATAATACTATAATGCTATAATACTATAATACTATAATACGATAATACTATAATACTATAATACTATAATACTATAATATTATAATACTATAATACTATAATACTATAATACTATAATACTATAATACGAGAATAATATTGTACTATAGTATTAGAATACTAGAAGAAAACTAGAATACTAGAATACTAGAATACTCGAATAATGCTCACATATTAAAATACTTTAGTACTTTCATACTATAATACTATAATCCGATAAACGATAATGCGATAATACTAGAATACTATAATACTCTCACACTAAATTATTATCATACTAAATTACTATACTTCTATAATAAGAATTATTGGGGCATTCGGATCTCCAGCCTGGAGGTGACGGTGAAGCTGAGTGGGATGCTCTCCATGACCTGGCTTTCAACCACGAAAACCCGGTCAGCGCAAGGACTCTCTGAGCCTGTCTAGGATTTGGCTTTGGGGTTTAGGGTTTAGGGTTTAGGGTTTAGGGTTTAGGGTTTAGGGTTTAGGGTTTAGGGTTTAGGGTTTAGGGTTCAGGGTTCAGGGTTTAGGGTCGAGGATTTAGGGTTTAGGGTTTAGGGTTTAGGGTTTAAAGAAATTTTATAGGGTTTGGGTCCCAATGACGTTTTGACCGAAAGTTTTGACCGAAACGTTTTGACCCGGGAGTTCTGACCGACAGTTTTGACCGAAACGTTTTGACCGAAAGTTTGTTTTTTTTTGCCCCCGGGGGGGAAGGCCTTAAACTCTGCTTGTCAGCTGTTTGGACTAACTTGGGAATATTCATAATGATACCACGAGAGCGGGAATGTGCTTTTGGGTGTCCTTGAGGCATGGTGTTGTTCAGTCGTCATACACGTTGCTGCGTACGTTGGGGCGTCATCTTAGAGGGCAATCTCCTGGAAGACGCCAGAATTGAATCATCAGGGCATTTGAAGGCCAATAATGGTGGTTTTGGACCTTCATGTCATTCACTGGCCTTTTTCTGATTAGCTCTCTTGGGAAAGATTTGTGCGTAACATTATATAAAATGAAACGCGTGAGCGAATCATCGAATCCTGGAAGTCTTGCACGCGAGACACAAGTACTTCTGTCCGCTTTGCTCGCTTGTACGTACGTGTGGTTTGGCTTTGACAAACTGGTGCTCGACTATACTATACTTTATGACATGAAATTATAGTAGAGTCTAGTATATTATAGTAGTTTAGTGTAGTATAGTATATGATAGTATATGATAGTATATCATAGTATAGTATAGTATATTATTGCATATTTCTTGCAATGGGATGCTTGTTTCGTCCATGACAGCGCATGTGAACCCCCCGGCCTTCGGACTGGGAACCGTGTTCCTTTCTTCCGCAGCCACCACACTAGTATAACATGCGATAATATAGTTTGATACACTATCATATAGTACGTAGCACAATATAGTATAATTGCAGTATAATCTAGTATAATATAGTATAACGTAGTACAATGTAGTATAATATAGTAAAATATAGTTTAATATAGTATCATATAGTATAATATAGTATCATATAGTATAATATAGTAGAAGAGAGTATAAGATAGTATAACATAGCAAAAAATCTAGTATAATAGAATGGTGCCATCTGAGACCATCTCAGATGTGCGTGTGCAAGGACCCACCGGCAGAAGGAGCTGCGAGTGAAGACCGTGAAGCTGCTGGAGGTGCGCGGCCCTGACATGAGCAAAGTAAGGAGAACCATTACTAGTATATTAAATTAGAGTATATGAAACTAAACTATACTATGCTATAATGCTATATTATGTTATATTATATTATAGTATATTGTGCTATATGATATTTGATTATGTTTTTCTACATTATATTATATTATATTATACTATATTATAAATTATATTGTACAATATTATACTATATTATACTATGTTATACTATATTATACTATATTATACCATATTACATTTTTTTTACTATATTTTGCTATAATTTACTATATTCCATTATGTTATAGTATTTCATATTATATGATATTGTATTATGTTATGTTGAATTAAACTATATTATGCTATATCATGGCATATCATACTGTAGGAACGTTAACCGTCTTGCCAGTGTTCAGGAGCCAACCTGCTCTTTGCTCCAGTCGCAGCTGAAGGCGCACGACGTTTGGGTTCGCCACATGCGCTGTCGGAAGCTCCCGCCTTGCTGTTCGCAGCCAGCCCAAAAGCAAACCGATGTCAGGAAGAGAAGATCCCCTTAATATACTACAATACTCTATAATACTCTATAATATACTATAATATACTATAATATACTATAATATACTATAATATACTATAATATACTATAATATACTATAATATACTATAATATACTATAATATACTATAATATACTATAATATACTATAGTAATCTTGCATTAGGAGAACTGCACCTGGCAGAAGCCGGAATCATGACAGCATGCCGTAGCAAGCCCAGCCGGACACAAGCGCCAGAAAACGGGGATGTTTGTGCAATGTCCTACAGTACAATATTACTATAAACAACTAAAATATACTATAACAGACTAGAGAGATACTATAATATGCTATCATATACTATAATATACTAGTATATACGATAATATCGTATCATATAGTATAGTATCGTATAATATATATTTTAACATACGAAAAGACCGTATAATGTAGTATGAACTTTATACCTCATCCACCGACGCGGTGCAGCAACGAAGGTGCTTGAGGCCTGGCTGCCGTCCATTGCCCTTGGCGAGGACGACATCACCATGCGATTGCCAGACCACCTTCCGGAGTTTGGGGGGTTGGTGTTTAGGGTTTAGGGTTTAGGGTTTACGGTTGAGGGTTTAGGGTTAAGGTTGAGGGTTGAGGGTTGAGGGTTGAGGGTTTAGGGTTGAGGGTTGAGGGTTGAGGGTTGAGGGTTGAGGGTTGAGGGTTTAGGGTTGAGGGTTGAGGGTTGAGGGTTGCGGGTTGTGGGTTGAGGGTTGAGGGTTTGGTGCTCCGATTTCGATGCTCTTGGTCTGGACATGTCTGGCGGCTGGGACGGGGCTGAATTTTGGTTCGAGCTGAGGGTTCGGGACGGGGCAAGCCGAAGGCCGGTCAAGAGCTCTAGGCAGGCATAGCCAGCTTCTCTCGATGTGAAAGCCGCGGTGATTCATGGATCTTCTTTCTGGACGGTGGGCCATTTCCCCAAGCACAAGTAAGCGACCATGCCTTGACTTCGGCAGCACCTGAGTGTGCCAGCTAAGGAGAACGAGGACGAAATTCTCGCCTCTCAGCTCAATGAGGGGGGTTTCCGAAAATTGGGGACCCCTAGTACAGAACCCCCAAATAGTAGGATCCCCTTATAATAAGGACCCCAATAAGGTACCCCCCTAATTTCGTAAACCACCGTAAAGCATTCGCCACTGCTGTGGGCATGGTGACAACAGTGAGAACACTTCGTTCATGCCCAGGCCCTGCACCAGGCGTTCATGTCCGAGCCCTTCTAGTTGCAAAGCGTGCCTTGGCTGCTGCGTTTTCCACCTTTAGGGAGAGTCCTCGCAGCCCAGGGGCCTTGCAACACATTCTACGACTTTTTCACGACATGTTTTCTTGTAAACCAACCAAACTTAATGAAGGTCTTCGAGTACATACTCAGTGGGGTGGGTCGAAGTCTTCAGGGAGCTGCAGCAACATCAGCTGCAGCAACATCAGCTGGAGTGGAATCTGGGCGTGTTAATGCGCAGCCTACAATTGCGACTGCCATGGCCTGTGAAACACACAGCGACAGCCACAGCTACGTGAGGTCATGGAGCAGGAGGACTTGCGCGGCAGGGCGACTTGGTGTCTTCAGTGCACGAAGTTGCCAAGCTCGACATGGGCGAAGCGAGTGACATGCGGACGGTATGCCTCGACGGTATGCCTCGAATTGCCGTTCCACATCAAGACCTGTCTAGAACAAAACCCCGTGGTTCTCAATGTCTCCAGTATGTAAGCTGGTTCCTCTAAAGAAGCATGCAGGGGGGGGGGGGGGGGGGGGTTGGGGGGGCCTCGAGTAAGAGAGGCTCGCCTTAGTGTGCACCCTGTCTGGGGCTTGAACCTCTTCAGGTTAGAGGGTTTAGCCAGGGTGTAGGGTTTAGGGTTTAGGGTTTAGAGTTTTAGGGTTTAGGGTTTAGGGTTCACGGTACAACCATGGACATTGAGAACCCGCAGACGCTCACATTCAAGATGTCGGGCTGTCTGCACAAAGTGGATTTTGCACGTTTCCGTACTTGTACATACCGGGAGCCAGAGTCCAGAGCCCAAGCCCTACATGTCTCAGCATACTAATGTCACGGTATATGAACATAGCAAAGTAATGTCACTTTTTTTATATTGCCTTAAGATTGCTTGACGTTATGATTATCTTTTTGTATGTTACCATGTAGTCATATAACAATAGAATATTGTAGGAATATACTAATATATAACACATGCAAAAATACAGTATTATATTCTAATTTCTTAACGTAATCATGGCAACATGACAACGCAAAATATCTTGATATACTAATGTAGTAGGTAAAGAATAATATCACGTAATAATACAATACTATAGCACTTTACTGGAAAACCGTAATGCGAGCATCCGATAAGACTGTAATACTATGATATTATATTACAAGCTTACTATAATACTATAATACTAGAATACTACAATACTATAATACGATGATACGATGATACGATGATACGATAATACGATAATACGATAATACGATAATACGCTAATACGATAATACTGTAATACTATAGTACTATAGCACTATAATACTATAATACTATAATACTATAATACTATAATACTATAATACTATAATACTATAATACTATAATACTATAATACTATAATACTATAATACTAGAATACTATATACAATATAATACTATAATAATACTATAATACCATAATACTATAAAACTATAATACTATAATACTACAATACTATAATACTATAATACTATAGTACTATAATACTATAATACTATAATACTATAATACTATAATACTATAATACTATAATACTATAATACTATAATACTATAATACTATAATACTATAATACTATAATACTATAATACTATAATACTATAATACGATCATACCATCATACCATCATACTATCATACCATGATATTAATACTTTAATACTGTAATACGATCACAGTCGGTCACACTACAATACTAGAACATAATTGAAGACCCCTATAAAGCAAAAATGACGAAGTACAAAAATATCACACCATAGTACCATAGCAGTATAATGCCATCATATTTTATTTAAGAATATGAAAGGAATGGCCGACTGTAATAAGATCATGATATGATTTAATCATAGTATAGTAGACTCAGAATATCAAATTTTTGCAATACAACAATTTAATCGTATCATAATGTGATAGCATATTACCAAGTCAGTGGCATCCAATTATTAATGATGGCCGATTTCGAGAAGTTGTAGCAATAACGCCCCTCTGATCATTGAGTGCACGCGCGCGCGCGCCTGGCAAGGCTCGAGTGTTTGACTTTGCGCCGAGCGTACAGAGTGAGTGCAGAATGTTTGAAATTGGCGCAGCCGGAGTGCCTCGAGCACTTAGACCTTTTCAGTTTGGCTATGGTTGGGTCGGGCGATGTCGGGACCGGACAAGCAACTGGCTAAGCTTGAATGATGGGTTGCAAAGAACCAGTCCTGATTTCCGTCCTCATTTTTGCCAGCCCTTCCACGAAGAATCGCAGGTTTAATTCACCTTTACATACGCGCAAGTGGGCATGGTGTTTGCGAATCACTTTCCCGAGCATTGGAACAAAGTTGTGCCACCCCGAAGCATGTCGAGATCTGCACGTCGTAGGCTGAGAAAGTACAACAGTGTATAGAAGTGAAAGGCAATGGGTCGATCAGCCTTTCATTCTATGCTACAGGGATCCGCACGTCACCTCAGCTGCACAACTGCCATTGCTTGGGGGCAGCGTTGTGGTGGTTGTAGGACACGATGGAAGCACGGATCCACGCAGCGTGCTGAAGCCTTTCCGGACAGTCAAGTTCGTCTCCGACAAGCCGTCGTGTTTCAGAAAAAGGACGACATGGAGAAGGGACTCAACAGCCCTTATGATCCCAGGTGCAGGTTTCTTCACTTGATCTTGCATCCCCTTCACCACTGCGCTTTGCTGCGCTAGCCGTCGGGCGGCTAACAAGCGGTCTTGGATGTATAGCCAAGACGTAGCTTGAAGCTACCACGTTAGCCTGCCCCGAATTCGTGACTGCTTTTGGCCGAGCTTTGTGCAAAGCGTGACGCACTGCCATGGCTCATTCTGGAGTTCCATTCTTTATTTTCACGCCCATGGGCGCTGCCACAAACTGCAAGACCCCTGCTTGGAGGTTCATGGTACTTATTAACCAAGTATAACTGTACTTCTGACTGTACTTATAACCACATTAGGGTTCTTTTGTGGGTTATAAGTAGAGTTATGAATGTTGAATAAGTACCATGAACCTCCAAGTGGAGCATCTAAAGGATGCACGGGAGTGACCAGCAGTTGCACCCACAGAGCCCGGTTTAGGGTTTAGGGTTTAGGGTTTAGGGTTTAGGGTTTAGGGTTTAGGGTCTAGGGTTTAGGGTTTAGAGTCTAGGGTTTAGGGTTTAGGGTAAGGAACATACGTTAACCTATAAAGGGATCCTTATTATGATCTATGTAAGGAATACTCCTTAAGTAAGGAATATACCTTAACTAATAATGGGATCTTTAGTATGATTTAAGGAATACCCCTTAAGTAAGGAGTATACCTTAAATTAATAAAGGGATCCTTATTATGATTTAAGGAATATTGCTTAATTGAAAAAGGATCCTCTGAATATTTAAGGAATATGGCTGAACTAATAAAGGGATCCTTACTATGATTTAAGGAATATTCGCTTAGTTTAGGGGTGTTGGGCTCTTTGGGCACTCATGCCTGTGATCAGGCGGCTTGGCGCCGGCATAGGGCGCAAGGCACGTCGGAAACCAGCACATGGTACGCACCAGTGAAGGGTTCAAAATTTAGGGTTTAGGGTTTAGGGTTTAGGGTTTAGGGTTTGGGGTTTGGGGTTTAGGGTTTAGGGTCTAGGGTGAGCGTACACAATTTGTTGATATGCGATAAGAGGCCCACAGCGGAGTAGCGATCCCGCAACAATGGCCTTCGTTTGCTGAAGGCTGTTTGCGACCCCGGATATCGAGCAACCCTAAACCCTGAACCCCCTAAACCCTAAACCCTAAACCCTAAACCCTAAAACCTAAACCCCTAAACCCCTAAACCCCTAAACCCCTAAACCCTAAGCCCTAAATCCTAAACCCTAAACCCTCAACCCTAAACTCTGAACCCTACCTAAGCTTGTAACCGAGGCATGGTGGGGACCGAGCATTTAAGTCATGGCCAGCAAGCGGAGACCCCGGCCAGTGTGCTCGGCACTTCCTCTCTTTGCTCCACGAAGTCGGGAGCATACAAGATCCTAGCGGAAGCGCTCCTCCCTCACATTGTGAGTTGTGTGCCGCGTGCCGAGAAGAAGCCCAGTATCAGCTTTTCGGGAATCCGGTACAGCCGCGGCTCTGAAATTGTTGTCAGTAGATCCTTTACGACGTGCAAAGTGGCACCTGCATCCTTCAACACTCTGCTCCATTCCCTGTTCTCATCTCACCCATTTAGGGTTCTCAAAAACCTGAACGCCAGAAACTCCATGCTTTCGAGAAGTCTTCTCAGGATCTTGGTCGAGCGAGACTTTAGACTCAGACCCAGGGCCAGTTTTTCAAAGCAAGTGCGCGCAGCAGACATGAAAAAGCATGGATGTGGATCGTTGCCAACCGGTTGTCAGTGCACCATCAAGCGATTGCAGTCGTGAAAAACCGCAATGCGAGCATGGTGTGGATCGGCATAGTTCCAGCGCCTGTAGCTGACATGGATTCTGGGTGAATGTTTGCAGCAAGAACATGACTGGCATGTAAAAACACCGGTTTTCGTTGCGCAGCCCATTGTGCTTCGTTCCTTCTCGCGCCTTTAAGATATTGATGTGCTTCAGAAATCTGGAAACGGAAAGCCCTCGCCAGCCTTCCGCTGCAGCCACAGGGAGCATCTCAAGACAAGTCGACATGATGTCAAGCCCCAGCTTGGATCACAGGGCCTGCATATTAGTATATTCGTACATTTGTACATGAGTATACTAGTATGTGAGTAGGTTAAGTTCATGAGTAGATTAGTATATCAGTATAGCAGTATATTCTTATCGTAGGCCCAACTAAGCCTCGCCCCCCCTTGTGACCTGACAGCTTCGCAAGAGGGTGCGAAGAGGCAGTGCGCCGGCATGGAGTAAGGTGCTCATGAGTGACGGCTTGGTGGCCAGAGGCCCAGGACGGAGATGCCGAATCTCCGAACAGACCATGTGAGTTGGATTAACTAAGCCCTGAACCCCCTAAACCCGAAACCCTAAACCCTAAACCCTA